ACAAACACTACATTTACATTTTCAAACGTTTAAAGTTAAAGTTGAAACAGATATTTGGAGTTAGAAATGAATTATTCTTTGCTTGCTGCTTCTTATAATAGTTATTTTAATCTTAATATATAGCAATAATAACACAAATAATGATATCTTAATATTAGTAATAATAATGTTTTATATAATATCTTTGTATTTTTACTTATAATTAATATTTTAAATATGTTGATTGTACAGATGTTTACATTGATTATATGAGTGTGTTTCATTTCCTATCACTATTACTTCCTCTATCAAGTAAAGACAGCCACAGTGATGCATTCAAGATCATTTATTCAAAAACAAATATATAAAAAAACACTGAAAACACAATACAGAGAGAACAATCAGATTTTGAGGGCATTAACCAAAACTGTTTTGTTATTGGCAGGATTGGCAGGACTGGTGAAAAGGCTGATAGTTTAGGGGTCTCGTTTGTGTTGCAGGCAAAACGTCTTAGTTTGTATGTTAGTATGCAACTTAGTAGACCCAGGAAGTGGCGTGTGCATGTGTGTATGTGAGGGTAGGTTAGGGCTTCCTTTTGTCTGCAATCCATCTGTCCCTTTCAGCATCATAGAAGTCCGACTGCTGGAAGTCCGGCCACGTCATCTCCTTCTCCATGCCCTGTGCATTATATAAGGAGAAGACTCTGGAGGGGCAGTAGATGTACTTCCCTGAAACCCCTGGGAAGTATGCATGGATATGAGGGCTGTTGGGACCCTGCTTCAGGGGTTGGTGACAAATCCTGCAGAGACGGCCTGTTGGCAGCTGCACAGCTGCCTTCCTCTTCCCTCTCTCCTCTGCAACCTTTCTCCACTCTGCCCCCCTCTGTCTGGCAGCCTCCAGCTCTCGCTCAAAAAACGCAGTTGCAGCAAAGTTCTCAAAAGACATCCTGGTGTCTTTGAGGCCTTCTTTAGCATAGGTCTGAAAGACCTTGGTGGAGCAGTAAAAGTACTTTACCGTTTTTGACTGGTAAAAAAAATGAACTGAAGAGCCATCCCCAAGATATCTGGATTTAGGCTGACCGCAGGCTAAACAGTTTCTCATCCGCGTCTTTTTCTGAGGCTGTTGTTGTTGCTGCTGCTGCTGCTGTTGTTTTGCCAGGACGTCTGACACAATCTTCTCCACTGAAGCCCTGCTCAGTGAGTCCTCCTGTGTGGGAGCCACAGCTGGAGGGTTGCATATGGCAGGTGGCAGAGTTATGACAGGCACACTGATAGTTTGGCTACCTGAGGTCAAACTATGCCACAGCTGCTGTGTCTCTAAGATCTTTTCTGGGGATGTGTTGAGGGAAGAGCTGGTGTTTTTTAATTTTGCCAGATGTTTCACATATCGTGAGATATGTTGGACTGTGGTCGGGTGAAGGAGGCTGTTCCGGTCTGTGCATCCCCTCTGGACCATGGCAGCGTAGTCCGCATCCACCCGCTTCAGGACATCTTTGGCACCACGGTGGTTTACCAGAAGCTCGTCGATGGCAGCTTTCATGGGTTCTGTCCACCGACCATGGTCCAAGACTTGAATGAGGCCACCAGTTTTAATTGGTCCAGTGCGGGTGGCTCGAGGAGAGGAGGACTGAGGCAGCGGTGCTACCCCTGTCAAGTCTAAAAAAGAAATATATGTTAATTATATTGTTTGATGCCAGTGTGTTGCAAATCAATTAGCTCTTTTAGTCATTTCACTTCACAGCTAATTTAACTTTTGTGGGACAAATACATGATTATCTTATATTCCTACCTCTTGTTCTATTATGCTTTTCAATGGCTTTTACAGTTTGCATACACTTGCTTAATGATTGTTGTTAATAAACAATATTTCAACATGATGATATTACATATATTATGTGCACGCCTGTTTTTAACAGTGAGGTAGTGTAGGTAGGTAATTTGAATGACCTGTATCTATCAAAGGCTCTGGTTTTTGTGTGGCAGACGCTTGTGTCAAAGGCAGCAGGGACTTGGTCACAACATCAGAGGACTGCCGGGAACTGGAAGACAGAATTGGCACTGCCCCAACTGGAGCAGCACAGGATTCCTGAAATAGCACAAATATAGTGAATTAGTTAGTCAGCCAGTCTGTCAGTACTTGACAGTAAGTAGATATAAATATGAACTGGATTACCTGAGAGTCTGTGCCCACTACAACAGTAGGGGCAGGGCAATGATGCTCTGTCTCCATGGCTACTGCCGCTGGGTTGTTTGGCTGTGCCCTGTTCTTGTCCCAGTTCAAAACAACAGGACGACAGCCTGGCTCCACGTACTGCAGTCCAAATCTCTCCCCCGTGTCCCTGTTGGAGAGCTGCAGTGCTGGGTATTTGGACCTTCCTGTCACTTTTACAGAGATGGTGTTAAGCTCTGAAATCAACCGGGGGTCAAACACGGCTGGCAGCTCCACATCTGGTTGTTTCAGGTCCACCAGCCTCTGGTAGTTCCAGCGCACAACTCCAGTCATAGCTTGGGCCTGGAATAGTTCACAGGACACCCGGTTGCCTGTCACCCATTGGGCTTGGTGTCCGTGGAAACCCTCCTGCTGAGAGGTGCCTCTCACAGGGATCCACACAGGCACGGCAGCTCCCTCACCCTTGTTGTAATTCAGCTGCAGGGTGCCACCATACCTGTAGAGGATTCCCTCTCCCACTTCAGGGTCGCTCAGGCAGCCTCGGAGGATGTGGATGCGCTGGATCCTCCACACCTTTAACATTGAGTCTTTGAAAAGGAGCAAATCATTGGCATCCTTTGCCATGTAATAGTGATGGAGGACGTCTTCCACTCTTTGCAGCAGTTCCATTGGCTGTGGCACCTTTGTCCTGCAGTGCTCTCTTATGTGCTGCTTTGTGGGGTTAGCAGGAGAAATTCTGCAGAACGTGTACGCCTCCTTCAGCTTCTGGAGATCGCTGTGGTCCACCACAACGAACGCTGCTGAGAGGAACTGGCAGAAGGAGCTGTACAACGAATGATGCTCGGAGACACACTCCCTGGTAAACCGCCGCATACAATGAAACAAGTCCAACTTGACAATAATGTCTTTGTTAAACTTGTTCCTTGATGCGCAAATGTTCTTGAGATTTCCAGAGGTGGCCTCTGCCAGGATAGCATCTGTGGTCCTCCAGCTGTCCCACAAGTGCTCCTGAGCCCCAGGTTGAAGGACCTTGAAGGCAGCGCAGCAGTCCCTAAAGCATTACAAATAAATGTCATTACAGCTGAAAACCTTGTACAATATCTTCGTACAAAATTAGTGTAATAATTAACTGTAATTATTTATGTGTATTATATTTATGAAGAGTCAGATTACAGAATTAAATGCAGAATTAAAAAAAACAACAACAAAAAAAAAGAATCAACTGTTTTCAATTTAAACTTGTTGTTTATACCTGTCCACCCACTGGTAGCGTGCCTTCTCCACTCCAGCCACAGTGTAGCGTTGAGACAGACCCTCATACAACGGGTTAAGGGACCTATCACACTCTGACTGCAGCATCACCCAGCTCAGGATCATCCAGTTCTCATTCATGATGGCATAGGAAGACATGGTGCCAGACGACAGCACAACCTTCCTAGCCACTCTGCGAGTGTGATCAGACCTCAGGGCCTGTCCAAAGGTCCCCTGAAGCAGCAGAGTAAGGAGCTCCTCCTGCCGCTGATACTCATGGACCAGGCACTCCACCAGGTAGTGGGAAGAGACAGAAACTCCACACCAGCCATCACCATCCGACTATCCACCAAATGGAGCCGGAGTATCTTCCTGTCTGAGGAACCCAGTGATGGTCCTTTGGCCGTAGACTCCTGCCTCAGCATCCCTGACATTCTGCACACACAGCAAGTAGGCCAGGTGAGCTCTCTCATATTTGAGATTGAGCGCCTCCGTCAGCTGCTTGGACGTGTCCTCTGGGGATCTGCCGCTGCGCCTCATCTCATCCAGTACAGATTTGCAGACGGCCTTTTTGTGCGTCAGGAAGGCCGGCACGATGTTGCTGATGCGCTGGGGTAGCTTCTCCAGCCACTGGGGCTTGTCAGCATGCCAGTACTTTTTGCAGACCTTGCAGGTGAGTCGCGAAGCTAAAATATAGTACTGGCCGCTTGTCCCAAGGATGACTCTTGGCCTTCCAATGCCAGAAGAAACTACCTGAGGGTTTGGACAACCATAGAGACAGGGCAAGACAAAGTTGTTTCTCACCCTCTCCATGATCGCGTGCTCTGGCTTCCAAATGAAATATGGATGAAGCTGATAGTACTTGGGTGAAGGCAGGTCAGAGATTGAGTCTATGAGCTCAGGCTGAGGCGGATAACGCCACAGGGACAACATGTTCAGTAGGTGTCTCACTGGACGTGAACCTGGCCACAGACCCAATGTGTCCAACTCAGTCTTCATCCAAATCTGCTGCTGGTGCGAGCAGTTCCAGTGGGCAACATCCTCACTATAGCCCGGAACAGAGGCTGCAGGCTGGTGTGGTGCTGCTAAGGGGACAGGAGGCACTGGGCAAGTCAGAGCTGTAAAACACAGTAAAACACACAGTTACATCAGATCAAATTGAATAAAGCTCTATATAAATGACTGCTATAATACAGTGTCACCGATATTCATACCTTCATCGAGGACAGTGTCTCCCTGCGCTTCCACAGGGGCTATATTATGTGGGGATGAATCTGGGAGGATGAGATACAAACAGGCAAGTGACGTATACACATTATCGAAATTAAGAAGCAGCATTTAAGAAGTGAAAAATGAAAACAGAGACGATGATATCATTACTTAACTTTACCTAAAACGTGAGCACTATACTGTATGACACCGTGACAATGTGATTTGTCAGAATGAAATGTAAGTTTCTGCGAGATACACTGGTAGTATAAGAAGAACACATACTTTGTCTCAACACATTTGGCGCCTGCTCTTCTATCCCGAGCTTTGGGGCAATGGCGAGCAGCTGAGGAGGGACCGGCAGCGGTGCCTTCACTGTGGCTGAAGGATGAAAGGCGGAAACAAACATGAGGGTATATATACATAATATGTATGAAAAAGATTCAAGATGGATCCAAGTGAGGAGTATAAAAACCCAATAACCTTTCAGAGGAGCAGGTCCATCGGGTCTGGACACAGTGGCAGTGGCAGTTGGATAAGTCCTGTGGGCTGTAGAAACAATCCTGTGTCACTTTCCTCAAGTGTTAAGTTGTTTCAAGCTTCACAATCTGTCTTTACCTGTCGTCTCTTTAGCAGAATGAAAATACCCTGTTGTATTAACTTGTGAATCCCAATGATTTGAAATAGAAAAACATAATGTCTATATGTGTTTGGAAACAGGTAAAGCAGAGAAACAGTATACATATATAGCAAGCACATCTTTCATTCAAAGGTGTGGCATGATATCTTAGAGGGTAAGAAGCTAGGTGTTCTAAGCCACTGCAATATTTAAAATGCCAAATCCTTGTATGACAGTCTAAAAAAAAGCATGCAAAAACGGAAAAAACACTTACCATCATTGCTGACATGTTAATTCCTTCAGTTAGTTGGAGAACAGAATAACACAAGCATCAGAACAGACCAGAACACGGCCAAAAGAACAAACTAGTTGAGAATAATAATGTCAGGGAAAATCTGTTGGAAACAGTTAACCCTCCACACTGCTAGATAAAAACCTGTTGGTGTGGACACAGCCGGGGCTCTGGAGCCTGCTGCTGGTGGCCCTATAAAGCACAGGGGACAATGAACAAAGTTTTAACATGTACAGTAAGTTTATATAATCACTGTGTATCTAACTGGATCCACCTACTTCGTTCAGTGTAGAGTTTTGAAGGAGACAGATTCAACATCGCCCTCTCCAGCTCCTCGTCCTCCTCCATCACTAGGAGATTAAACAATAACATGTATTATGTCAATGTCATGTTCACCTTAAAGCAGTATTTGCATATTACTGTGAGCTGACCTGGAGTGCTGGATGTCAGAGTGGAGGTAGCTGATGCAATGCAGCCTTCAGCCGGTGGTGGACAGGACTCAGCCCTCTGCTGCTTGAGGATATACTGCTGAAGGTTGTACATCTTGCTGTTAGTGATGCACTTCACTCCTAAAACAAAGGCAGCATAACCATCAGACCTGCTATCCCAGATCTGCTTCCAGGTGTCTTTGGCTCTGGCTCCAAAGCCGACAGTATGTTCCCCCTCTGACGCCACTGGTGGGGCAGGCTTCCTGGAGCACAGGTACTTCCTCAGATCCTCAATTTCCTGGAAGCTCCTGGCGTAGTCCAGAAACGACAGCAGGCTGTCCTTGCTAGGCCCTTGGGGGTTGAAGGTCCCACCTCTCTCCTCCTCGTCCACCTTGTCCATCAAGTAGAGGGTGTAGCCGACGTCATTCTCTAGGAGCCACCAGTACAGTTTCCCCTTATATTTTCCGAACTGTAGCACGTACTCCCCCATCACCTCGAGTCGGTCGGATACATCCCCTCCCCTCTGAAGGACCTCAGTGAGAGCATTTGTCCTCACATGCTCATGCTTCTGAGCGCCAGACTTGTCCTGAAGGGAAGGATTTTTTTTAATTATCATACCCTCCTCTGAAGGGTCCTGTCTCAGGTGGCCAGATGGACCCTTCCTGAAAGACACTCTCATCTTTCCTGGGAAGAATATGGTTTTCTTCATTATCTCCTGCACACAGCAAAACACAATGCAAAATATATATTAAGAAGTGCACAAATCATCATATGTTATATTAGCAGAGTTATTCATTTCATTCATTCACGTTAACCAGGATTTGTATAGGTAACACATGTTATATTACATGATCAGACAGGCAGACAAACAAACAAACAGAGGGGCAGGTGGGCAGGAAGATTGATTATGTATTGCCCTGTCAATGTGAGTGAACTCACTTTATTTCATGTTTACATTCATTGGGATTTGTAATGACTAGGTAACAACTTTTCTATTACATGAATAGACAGACTGAAAAGCAGATGGGTAACATCTTTAGCCATAAAATAATAACAAAAGTATAATAGAAGATAGCAAAACAAAAGTTTTAAGACTGAATACTGTAGTATTTACCCGATTAAAATGTACCGTAGTAAGTAGAGCTGCAGCAATGAAAAGAGTCAAATTATGCAGTATTTTGGATCAGTGTTAACAAGATACACCTGTAAAACACATTTGACAGCTATTTTGCCATGTGTGATGAGTAATAAATCAGCTGCTGTTAACGCTGACATTTACTGTAAATACATGACGATAGCGTTAGCTAACAAAAGTTACAGTACTTCAGCGCTAACAACACACAGAGTTAAACACAAACTAACAACTAACAACTATTGCAAAAACAGTGTAACAATATCATAAGTGTTAATTCAGTCGTAGAAAAATAAGCCCCACTGACGTTTGATAAGTTTAACGTGATGTTAGAACTAGAAGTCGAATGGTGTCGCTAATGTCGTCTCTCTATCTGTAAGATGCTGCTGCTGTTGCTCCGTCTCTCTCACTCTGTCACTGGAAACGGGGTCACCTTACTTCTACCAAAAGAATGCAACAGCGCCCCCAATTTATCACTTGTGGCCAGAAATATATTGCAGTCACAGTGTAAGAACTACCATAGAGAATGAATGGTAAAAGTTAAGAGAGTTAGTCCTTACTATACCCGGTCCCCGCCGCGGGAGACCGGGGTTCAATTCCCCGACGGGGAGGAAATACTTTATTATTTGTATCACAAAAACGGCAGTAAATACGTAAAATAATAGCGATTTCATATTATATATACATTATACATATACATATATATATACATTATTCTATTGTTCTATCTGAAAGAGATACAAGGCAACATACAATACACATTTAGTAAGCAAAGTATAATAACTGACATGTGATTTATCCTCTAAATGTAAATAATTTGAAATAAAATATATGCTTTAAATCGTGTCTAAAGCCCTTTAAAAGTGTTTTATTGTCAGAGTTTATCGATGTTATTTCTTCACGGCCCACTGTATATTTTCTACTTTTTTTACATTACATTGCATTTAGCTGACGCTTTTATCCAAAGCGACTTACAGTAAGTACATTCGACCAGGAAGATACAACCTTGAAGAAAACAGAATCATAAAGTACATCAGGTTTCATAGAGCCAAACATTTCAAGTGCTACTCAACTGGCTTTAGATAAGCCAGTCCTTTATTAGTATATAAGTGCTCTGTTAGCAGATATTTTCTATTGTTTATTTCTACGTATGTGCAGTGCCTTGTTTTGTTGTTTTTCATGCTGCTGCAACGAAAACATTTCCCAGATAGGGATCAATAAAGTACTTCTTATTATCTTATCTCTCGTTAACCTATATAAACTTAGACTAAAACATGTCTGATAACATATCATCACATGTCTCTTCATTGTTCATTCATGTTAATATAACTTGTAATTTTTAGTGTAAATATAACTTGTAGTTTGGTCTGAATGTCCATCTCTCACTGTGAAAGGTGCCTCACAGCGCCACTAGCGGCCAAGTATATATTACACCCGTACTGGTTTAGCGCTACCATAGAGAATGAATGGGAAAGCGTTTAGTGAGTTTTATCTGAGGGAAGCGGGAGAGTGGGGTTCGAGTCCCCGACCGGGAGGAGACCGAAATATAAAGTCTCCTTTATTTTTGTAAAAGTGACCGTTTATAATCAAAACATTTACAATAAAAAATGTTATTTTACATTTAGGCATCACTATAAAACTCAATTAAACATAAAGACGTTATGATCACTTTTAGACAAAATCAAAGCTTGGTTCAAACCCAGTGAATGTAAATACATATATATTAAATATATATATAAAAAGACTCTAACACAATGTTTGATAATCAATGTAATAAAGATTTAAAATCACTTTTATAACTTATTATTGAATTATCTGTCAGGTTCATAAGATCAGATATACGTTACAGCAGCATGTAAAACAAAGTATGCAGTAATAAAGCAGCATTAGTCTGTACTTCTGATGTTATTTGGTAATAACATTATTTAATCTTTCCTTGCAGTTTAAGGACTAACTTTAGAGTCTAACATTTAGACTGCTTCTGAAGTAAAAGTGAAATACTAGTACAGAGAAAAGATTTGATTGATTGAAAAGTTTATTAACAGCTTGTATATTGGGTACATTAATTAATAACTCAATCCTTAATAAATAAATGTTACTGCAGCTTTACTTGTTTTAGGTTACAGCTAAAATATATCAATATAAAGTCAAATAAACCACGCGAATAAGATTTTAATTGTTGTTGCAGTTCACCAGCTACACCGCGACAGCGCCACTGGCCCATGTACTCCAGTGTGATGGTGAAAACGGGTACTGCACCCAATGATGCCATCCCTTCCTCGTTAGTATAGTGGTCAGTATCCCCGCCTGTCACGCGGGAGACCGGGGTTCAATTCCCCGACGGGGAGGAAACACTTTATTATTTTGTATATGAACTAATAATATACACAGAGAGAGAGAGAGAGTAGATGTACTGATAAATCATATAGTAATGATTTATGTAATTGTACATCTTATATCTTTGGTTACTGTGATTGTAACAGATTCAAGTCTTTATCATCCTGTGCTCATACAGTGTAAGATAACATAAGAAGTACTTTATTGATCCCAATTTTGGAAATGTTTGCATTGCAGCAAAATATACACGTTGAACTACAAATGTACAGTAACAAAATATAAAGCAGGATGTTATAAGTATGTGAGGAATGGAATATTAAATAGTAGTAGTAGATGGGATGAGAAACTGAAGTCCTCCTCCAACAGAGCAACATGATTATATATATAGGACATAAAACAGATAAAATAGTGAAGAGGATGTTTTGAGATGTGCAAGTTAATACAAATAAAATAGAAATAGTGCAAGAAGAGTCTGTATACAAGTAAATGGAATATGATATATAGATAAACAATTAGATGCAAACAGATGAATGTTCTGGATGTTCTTTAAAAGGTTCAGGTGGTTAACAGTCTTATGGCCAGTGGGAGGAAAGTGTCCCTGAGTCTGGGGGTCTAGACCTGATGCTGCGGGACCTCCTGCAGGACGAGGGGTGTTTTTACCAACTTTCACCACATGTTGGTTATAATATGAAAATGTTTAAACGTCAATCAGCCAATAGGAATGCACCCTGAGCTGTGTGGTCGTCTCTCTGCTAAAGAGGTGAAGCTCCAGTCCGTGTTTAAGACAGGAAGTAGCCGACCCCTATGGCTGCTGACAGGAAGTCAGACGCTGATCATCGCTCAGATCCAACGCTGTTAGCGACTCAAATACATCGCTGTCAACAAGATATACAAACATTTTGAGCTGTGTGTTGTGTGTGTGTCAGGATGGTAGCAGGATGCTCCTTGTTGTCCTGCTGTGTGCCGGGCTCGGGGTGCTCGCTGCGCTAACGGTCGTCTTTATAGTCGGTGAGTTTAACGGGAGAACGTTTATCATCAGATCATCAGTGACTGAGCCAGAGGACTTTAACTGTGGTTTCTTCTTCTCTTTCCTTATTTCTGCAGCCAACAGACCGAGGCGCAAAAAGTGAGTCTTTTGAGAAAAAAGTAAATTCTGAGAAAATAAATATATCTTTGAGAAATAAATGTTTTTATTTTGAGAACAAATTGAAGTTTGAGGAAAAAAAACTAATTCTGAGAAAAAAGCAAATGTTGAGAAAGAAAACACAACTCAGTGTGTGTTCTCTGTTCACCTCAGTTAGCCATCGAAGCAGCATCTGAGACAGGGGGACAGCTCGAAGTGCTGGAGAGGAGCCATCCATCCATCCATCTTCTCCCGCTTATCCGTGGTCGGGTCGCGGGGGTAGCAGTTCCAGCAGAGAGCCCCAAACTTTCTTTTCCCTGGCGACATCAACCAGCTCTGACTGGGGGATCCCAAGGCGCTCCCAGGCCAGCGAAGAGATATAATCCCTCCACCTGGTCCTAGGTCTACCCCTTGGTCTCTTCCCAGCTGGACGTGCCTGGAACACCTCCCTAGGGAGGCGCCCAGGTGGCATCCTAACTAGGTGCCCGAACCACCTCAACTGGCTCCTTTCAACGCGAAGGAGGAGCGGCTCAACTCCGAGTCCCTCCCTGATGACCGAACTTCTCACCTTATCCCTAAGGGAGACACCAGCCACCCTGCGGAGAAAACCCATCTCGGCCGCTTGTATCCGCGATCTCGTTCTTTCGGTCATGACCCATCCTTCATGACCATAGGTGAGGGTAGGAACGAAAATGGCCCGGTAGACAGAGAGCTTTGCCTTCTGGCTCAGCTCCCTTTTCGTCACAACGGTGCGGTACAGCGACTGCAGTACCGCTCCCGCTGCTCCGATTCTCCGGCCCATCTCACGCTCCATTGTTCCCTCACTCGAGAACAAGACCCCGAGATACTTGAACTCCTTCACTTGGGGTAAGGACTCATTCCCTACTTGGACAGTCCATCGGTTTCCTGCTGAGAACCATGGCCTCAGATTTGGAGGTGCTGATCCTCATCCCACCCGCTTCACACTCGGTTGCGAACCGATCCAGTGAGTGCTGAAGGTCGCAGACCGATGAAGCCATTAGAACCACATCATCTGCAAAAAGCAGTGGTGCAATCCTTAGTCCACCGAACTGCAGACACCCTCCCCATGACTACGCCTCGAAATCCGATCCATGTATATTACAAACAGGATTGGTGACAAAGCGCAGCCCTGGCGGAGGCCAACCCTCACCGGAAATGGGTCCGACTTACTGCCGAGGACCCGGACACAGCTCTCGCTTTGGGAGTACAGAGATTGGATGGCCCTGAGTAGAGACCCCCTCACCCCATACTCCCGCAGCACCTCCCACAGTAACTCCCTGGGAACTCGATCATACGCCTTCTCCAAGTCTACAAAACACATGTAGACCGGATAAGCGTATTCCCAGGCCCCCTCCAGGATCCTTGCGAGAGTAAAAAGCTGATCCGTCGTTCCACGACCAGGACGGAATCCGCATTGTTCCTCCTCAACCTGAAGTTCGACAATCGGCCTGACCCTCCTTTCCAGTAACTTAGCGTAAACTTTCCCGGGGAGGCTGAGTAGTGTGATGCCTCTGTAATTGGCACACACCCTCTGATCCCCCTTTTTGAAAAGGGGAACCACCACCCCGGTCTGCTACTCCTTCAGTACTGTTTCCGACTTCCACGCAACGTTGATGAGACGTGTCAACCATGACAGTCCCTCAACACCCAGAGCCTTCAGCATTTCTGGGCGGATCTCATCCACCCCCGGGTCTTTGCCACTGTGGAGTTGTTTGACGACCTCAGTGACCTCCCCCCGGGAGATTGGTGTTGATCTCCCGTCATACTCCAGCTCTGCCTCTAACATAGAGGGCGGAGTTGTCTGGTT